TAATTGATGGACTAATTGATTGACTAATTGATGGACTAATTGATGGACTAATTGATGGGCTAATTGATTAACTAATTGATGGACTAATTGATGGACTAATTGATTAACTAATTGATGGACTAATTGATGGACTAATTGATGGATGGACTGATTGATTGTTTTCTTAACATATCACCTGTGGTCTTTCATTACTGAGTTTTAATTCAACATGGCCGGCACAGCCACGTTCATGGTGTTACTGTCCAGAGTGACTCTCAGCCACCAACACATAAACTTTACCTTTTTGCTTTGGCAAAGGTAAATCAGCTGAGGCGGCCATCTTGATTTGATTTGACCCCAACATGCTGACTCAGCGCTGCGTTCTCCTGCTGACGGGTTCATTTTGTGTTTTCACACAGATTATTAATCTGAGTTACTCAGCTGATGCTCCTCTTCTTTTTGCTTTGAAAGCTTTCAAAGACACGTCAGAGAAAACATTAAACACTTATAAAAATATATCCTCTGCCAGGCCGAGGTGTTAGAAAACACAGAAACGTCACGTCCTGGTGTGGACGGGTTCGTTTTGGAGGAGAGGAGACAAAACTGTGACAGAACATTTTGAAGTGTTTGTTGTTTCACAGAAACAAACATGGACTGAGTTTTATGAAACGAGTGTTCCATAAGCAGCAGCATGTCTCCTGCTGCCCGGGGAGGGGGGGGACTGTCACGTCTCCTGGGGCCCGGGGGGGGGGGGGGGGGGGGGCACCACTCTCAGCAGTGGTGCTATGGAGGTGGGCCGGAGTCCAACAGCTGTTTTTAAAAGTAACTTCTGAGCAGATGTAATCTGATTACGTGTAATTACATGATTTATTTCAGCGGTAGAACAAACCTAAAGATGCTCAGAGGAACTTAAAGTTTGAGCCGTTTTATAATTTTACCATCATGTGTCATGTGGGTGGTGCAGAGGTTAGAGAAGGTGGGCCTGTGATTGGAAGGTCACTGGTTTGACTCCCTGGACCGACAACATCAAAATGTGGGTTGGAGGGTAAACAGCCACACCTGCCTCCACCCTCATTTCCCCTACTCTAGGCCCTTGAGCAAGGCCCTAACCCCCACCTTGCACCCTACACGCAGCTGTCTGCTCCAATCAGAGGCTGTGGTAGCTCGGTGTCTGTGGTTGGTCAGGAAGAACATCTGGAGTAAAAACAATCACTGAGTCTTCATGCGAGTTAGTTCACTGTGGTGACCCCAAACAAACAAACAAACAAACAAACAAACCATCATGTGTCATGAATCACTAATTAACTCTTTGTGTGCCAGAGCCTTCAAAAGCCTCGGTGTTTGTCCTAACAAGCCCCCTCCTCCCCCCTCCTCTGTTTCTCCCAGTTTCCGTCCCTCATCATTATTCTGTCCATCCTTCTGACCCATCTGTCTCTCCCAGACACCCCCCCCCCACACACACACACACACACACTGACCCCTTTTGTTCACATCCATTGAATGGTGGGGGAGGCAGGAAGGGTCTGCTCAGCTGTTTCCTCACGACGTGTCGGGACAGTGTGGGAATGTGTGTGAGAAAAAGTTGGAGACAAAGCTCGGCGGAGGCTCAGAGTTAGTTCGTCCGCCGGTGAGGACGCACTAACATGTCGGAGTGAGACATGTACTGGAGTTTTACTGCAGCTGCACTTTGTTACTCTGGTCCATCACTTTTTATTATTAACCAACACTAAGACGAGATCGTGTGGTGCAGCCGCTGGGAGAAGTTCAGAGCGATCAGAGAAGATGCAGCCTTCGTCAGGAGGTCACAGCCATGAAACGTGTGTCCAGACTCGACTGTGTGGTGAGTTCCTGCACACGTGCCGAGCTCTGGGCCTCCTTCACGCTCCGCACCAACAACTAACGTATTCTTTTAACTCGTTCATTAAAACAAACGATCAATGTTAAATGTGGACGATTCAGCTTTTCTCTCTTTGGCAACATTAAAATGAAGCTTAGCCAATTATTAATAAACTCATTGATTTCACCAAATATTGTCAAAATGTATTTTAATGAACAACAAGTCTTTTGGCCACGGCCCTTCAGCTCTTTTTGTTGCTGCTGATTTAGTGCTTCCAAACCAGTTGGCCCACAGCGTCCTCCATGTTTTATAACCAGTTGTTTTTTTATGTTTGGGGATTTTGAAGTCGTCCTCTTAGATAATCCAGTTTAATCCAAGCTCTTGTACTAAAGTTAACGTTTGTTGTGAAACCTCTCGTCACAAAACGAGCGCAGAAGAATCAAAGTTTGTTCGTTAAGTTTCGTTAAATCAGAGTCTCAGAAGCTCTCCAGCTGTTGACACTGAAGTGAGTTTTTACAGGCCCACTCACAGCTGAGTCAGTGTGTAATCAGATTACACACTGACTCAGCTGTGAGTCAGTGTGTAATCAGATTACACAGAACCTTTAAGTTCAGTGGAGCAGACAGTTCATCCAGAGAAAACTGGACATGATGGTTTGATCCTGCTAGTGTGGGTTAGCATTAGCATGACAGTACATGAACTGTGTGTGTGTGTGTGTGTGTGGGGGGGGGGGG